TAATCTGACCTCACCTCACCTGACTTGACCTGTCTTTTCCTGCCCTGCCCTGTCCTATCCTGTTCTGTCCTACCCTGCCCTGGCACCCATGGGACGCACTGTGGAAAGGCGATCCGCAAACATCTCGCCCCATGGCCGATTTACGACACCTCACCCTACTGCTCAAGCTCAGCACCCGAAGGCAGGAGCGCTGAGGACGCGGACATAAACGAATTCAAATCCTTTTGCGCTAATCGAGTAACCTGACTGCGTGAGTGCAAACGCTTCTCATTCACTTTCTGTAGATCCAGTCAGAAAATACTAAGAATGTTTTTAAGCACCTAACCTGTTTTTCGGGTGATCAATAGCTCTTTCGACAAATCGATTGATTAGCCGGTTTCTCTCAAAGATATTCTGGAAGAATTTAGAAAAACAATAGTTTTTTATTGTCTCCTTGAAGTTGGTTAAAAGTTATTATATTCTATTTTCGGCATTTTCACTAATTGTTACAACTTCATTATCAGACTGACAATAATTGAACAATGTTTTGTAACATAAAGTTACACGTGTTTAACTTTACACAATTTCATGTAACTATCTTTTTACGAAAATGGACGAGACGTGATATTGAAATATGTTTGAAATGCATTTTTATTGTGATCTTGTCAAAGCACAAATAAAACTTTTTATCCGGCGGAGGCGCACATTAAGCTAGTATATAGTAAGAGCACTTTCTTAATATATTCTTCTATACACTTTCTTCATATATTCTCAATACATTATTTGTGAAGCGTGTTATTTTTGTCATATTTTAAATGTCTGTGAAAACTGAAATGCCCCTGAACTAAGATTGATTTATCCAAATAAGTTTGTTAAAAGATTTACTTCCTTCATAAATTTCTTAAAGATATTTTGTTAACATACTTGGGTAATGCATAAAAGGGAACATTACAATAATTTATTATAAAATATTGCAAAGATTTTTCAAACATACCCAGTACTGAACTGGTGGGTTGCCCAACAGCATGTTTACAGTATGTTACATAAAACTCGTTCTGTTCACAAAATTTAAAGACTCAGAAGTAAGTTTGTCAGGACGATAAGTGGTAATAGATTAACATGATGAGCATGCAGATTTCGATCAGATCCATGATATACAAGAACAAATTAATAATAGTGACGTCTGCGACACATCTCGTTTGCCAGCTTTGTGTAAAAACAAGAGAAATTCTAATAAAAGCTCTGCAGCAGGTGCTACGGATTTGGATGGAAGACGTGAATAGTCCATCCATGTGTTCTTCGGTCCACACGGGGCATTTATGAATCAACTGGAAACATGTTTATTAGTGCCGTTGGGAGACGAGTGTGTGAGTGAGCCTGTGTGTCTGTTGCAGAGAAGGAGCCGGCCGAGGGAGCCCCGTGACGTCATGAAGCCGAGAAGAGCGCGGGCGGCCGCCCCCGCGACTGCGCCGGCGTCGGCGCCGCCCCCGCTGCCGCGCCTGCTGCTCTCCGCGCTGCTGCTCACGGTGAGTGCGCGACGGCAGCCCCAGCCCCACGCGCACAGCCCCACGCGCACAGCCCCACGCGCACAGCCCCACGCGCACAGCCCCACGCG